TTCTGCTACAAACCTGAGACCTCTAAGCCCTCCCTCACTTTTCTAACTACTCTGTCTAATTTCCCACCCTTTTTTCTGTTCCTCAAAGACCCATATCTTCCCTTTTATCTTTCTACTAATTTTTATGTGTCTACTTACTTATGCCAATTTCTCTGTACATTCTCATAATGCACATCGGTGTGTGGGAGATACTTGCATACCTGGGGGACATGGACATAAAATATGTTTGTAACTGTATTCATTTATCAAGAGGTATTTTTTCTTCCATGCAGAAAAGAGTGGCCAGGAAAAGACAGCCTATGAATAAGTACAGTTACATATGTCAGATATTCAGCTATTTATTTTTATTTTAATGATAAAATTAAGAGTAGTAATAGGCCAAATTGATTTTCACCAATATACCAAGCAATATTTTCTTCAATAAAACTGTGACATGGGCAGAAAACTGGAGATATTCTATGGTCTAGAAAATTGTGTAATGTGATTTGAAATATATCACTCTGTATTCTCTGGTCATTGTTATGCTGTAATTTCTGGGAGCTCTCTTGCCATAGAGCATAGGCTTTGCATCAGGCAGACTTTGGTAGATATTCTATCTCTGCCATTTGGTAAATGTGACAGTGGGCCATTTATTGAGTTTTTTGAGCATTTTCTTCATCTGTAAAAAGAGAAAAATAACAGCTTCCTACTGTGTTACTGTGAGGTCAAAAAATGAAAGTACCTAACGTAGTGCCAGACACATAGCAGGTGCTCTACAAATGTAACTTTTCTTCCTTATCTCCTAGTCTCTCCCATGGTTGTCCCCCTTCAGCTTCTGTTTTTGTCCCCATATGGAAACAGAGGGGTACCATTTGTTGCCTTCTTTCTGCCATCATCCTCAGCTGATCAGGGAAGTTTTCCATCATTATTTCTTCAAATATATATTCAATTTCTTGCTCTCCCTCTTCAAGATCCCCTATGACATGGATATTTTTACCTTTAATGTGAATATAGGCTCTTTAAATTATTATTATAGTCTTGGCTTCTATTTCTTGCCATTCTTATTGTGTATCCTTTGCTTTCCCATCCTTTATATAGGTCATTTGATCCTCTTCTTTATTCACTTTGTTTTTTTCATTTAATATACTTCTCATTTCAGATAATGTGTTCTTCATTTCTGACTGATTCCCTTTTATAATTTCCATTTCCATTTTTTATGTTTTTTATCTCTTTGTTGGAGTTCTCTACATTTCCCAAAAGTTCATTGAGCATCTTTATAATCAATGTTTTGAAGTTTGCATCTGTTAGATTACTTGACTCCATTATATCTGGATCTCTGTTCTGTTCTCTCATATGGCTTCTGCTTCTTGTTTTCCCATTTTAGCTGTCTTTCCATGTCTGTTTCTATGTACTAAGAAAAGCTCCTAAGTCTCTCGGTTCGGTTAGTGTGAATTTGTGAAGTAGGTGTCTGTCCAATGGCACAGTCCTGAGAGGGGCTCCGCTACAAGCCAAACTTAGCCCAAGCCTCTGCCCCTCTGGGGCCACCTGTTAAGATTCAGCAAGCAATCCACAGATGCTGTGCTTATAGTTGCCTCAAAAGGCCACACCTCAAAAGAAACCAAGGCCAGCTGCCTCCGGTGCGTGTCGAGGTGCTGCTCAGCAAGGAGCACCTGACTCGCTGAGGACACATTTGGATGTGGCTTGGGGGGGGGTGCAAGTGGGG